GATCAGTGGATGGAGTTTGCTCAGTTGTCACAAAGATGGTTCAGTTGCCACGATATATCCTAACCTCTGTCTTTGTTCAATGTGTACAGTTTTGATGTTCTATAACTTATAACCACTACAAGAAAGCACAAAACATTATGAACCCACAAGGGCACATAATTAACACAGTGGAGGGTATACAAGCCCCCAAAACAACCAAACAAACAAAAAGAAAAAAAGAAAGACGCTGAACGGGAACCAAATCATCAGAGAGAAATTAAACATAAGAGAATCACAAAAGTAAGTGAAGATGAAAGATACGTCTTAAAATGATGCCACAGACTGAAGTGATGCTCTCTCTGACGTTGTGTTGTGGGTTTTTTGTTGTATGACTTAGGGCAGCCAGACGAGGCTCAGGTGTTCCTTTATACAAATGTATATATTTGACTACAGCACTAAAGTTGTTGATATTATTATTTTAAAATATGTCAGTTTCAACACCCTGCCACATCTGACTCTCTTTTTCTGCTAACCCAACCATTTCTTCTCACTTCCTCTCCTCTATTTCTGTCATTTCATTGCACCTCACCTCACCTCAATCACTTTTCACACCGATACTGTGCATCACATCATCACACGTTTGTACTTGTGATGTGCCCATATGGAGCCACACACTATAAATCTCAGAGGAAGAGAGGGAACTGAAAATCCTGTGATTATGTCGGTATACATTCGTCCCACATTACAGCAAGCAATATGTGTGAATCCATGATGAGGATGATGATTGTTTTTCTGTCTTTTGGTACATGTACATTATGTGTGTGTCTGTGTGTGTGTGTGTGTGAATCTGTAAACACACGAATGCTGAATTTATTTGTATCTTATTAGCAAGCTGACTGCCTGCCAGCAAAACTTAAATAAATAATAAATAAATCTCACTTCCTGCGCTGTGTTAATGAGACATTGATGTCTCCTGAGAAGTTGAATTAGTCTGAAGTAATAAACTCTGCCTGCAGGGTTCTGTATGAGGGGAAGGATCAGCTGAAGCAGGGCTGGTACGTCATCGAGACGACGCCCTACAGCCGCTCGGCCAACCTGAGCTCCGGCGGCGCTCCGACGGCTCACCGGGTGTTCCTGACGTACCGGCGGGCTCTGGACTCGCAGGGCCTCCACACACTGGGCGTCACCGACATCGCCCTGCTGCTGCCCAGCAAAGGAGAGGTCGCCCCGCACACCTTCTGCCGCGTCGACAAGAACCTCAACACCGGCATGGTGAGCACTCGTTCCCTGGTTGTTGTTGAGAGATAAATTATAAATTATTGTGGATTATGATTCAGCATAATGAACATTTCTACAACGTTCTTCCATTAAAACAACAGAGTTATGTCAAACTCACCACTCTGAGACACTTCCTGCCGATGTTTCACAGTAAAAGTCTTTCAGGGAAGTAAAGGGATTTAAAATGCTAAATTAAAATGACTAAAAGGGACCAATGAACCAATGCAATGTAATTTATTAAATTTAGATTTTTTTTAACTGCAGACCAGTTTCTCACAGTTGTGTGTTTGTGTTCGTCTCCAGTGGGGTCCAGCTCTGTATGTGTGCTACAAGAGAGCCGTGGCCAAAGCCAACGCCCTGGTCTACAAGGCCAGTGAGTATCTGTCTGTCACACTGCATCTAGGACCAAACACGGGGTCGATCTCATGACGGTTCCCACCACAAGTACAAAGTTAACATAATCCAACATGATAGGACCCGGATTAAAATGCTGGAATTTCCTTTTGATTTTTCCTCAATAATTTTGGTTTAGTAACATTGTAATACTGATTATTTATTATATTTGCCCTTAATCTGACTTACTGCAGCACTATGAAGCCAAAGTAAATAGATTTTACTGTGATTTAATTGGATAAAAGGATAAAAATGATGCCGAAATAACAACATCATGATGTCGATTTGTAAAAAGTCTGAATTCGTACTTTGTCGGGTCTGACCACAAGATGACGAGCAAATAACTTTTAAAATGCTTGTTTTTTTTATGGATTCTGCCTCAATCTGGGGATATATGCTAATTTGGTTCATAGTTAAACCAAAATATAGGTTTTAATCCACAAATCATGTTTTTATTAAATATTCCCATCCATAAAATATAGTTATTATCACATTAAAATTCAAATACAAACGGACTAATTGACGTGTGCTGCAGGTCTGATGAGCCGGTATCCAGAGGAGGACCTGGAGGCGTTTCCTCTGCCGGAGTCGGTGCCGGTCTTCTGTCTGCCGATGGGTGTCACCGTGGAGAGCTGGCCTCTAAACACAAAGTACCAGCTGCCTGTCTTCTCCACCTTCGTCCTCACCTCCGCCTCCGGGGACAAGGTCAGAGACACAACCACACACAACATCTCTGCTTTAGGAAGACGGAGAATTTATTCATGTATTCATTATATCCTGTCTGAGGTGTCTCCCCCTGCTCTCCCTGCAGGTTTACGGAGCGGCCATCCAGTTCTACGAGTCGTTCTCCAGGGAGCTGCTGTCGGAGCGGCAGAGCGTGAGGCTCGGGCTGCTCAGCGTGGTCGACCGGCGGCCGATCACCAACCGCAGCCTGCAGGTGAAGAAGAGCATCTGTGTCCTCTCCCACTGGCCCTTCTTCACCGTCTTCCAGAAGTTCCTCACCTTCGTCTACAGATACTCCATCTCCGGACCCCACGTCCTGCCGCTCGAAAAGTTAGTGCATTTATTGATGCATTTATTTATTGCGTAAAGGAAGACTTGGTCTAATGATGCTTTCTGAATTGAGAACCAATGGAAGCAGTATCTTCAGCAAAGAAGCAAGCTACATCAATTGTAAGCTGGCTAGTTAGGTAGTTACATCGGCTATTTTCATTAGCTATCAGATGTAACTAACTATTTGGATATCTGGAGCAAAACAATAGCTAACTAACACCAAACTGGCCAGCTAACGGTTGATTTTAGATTATGGTGTCAAATATTATTTAGAGTTTCCATCTTCTGTGACAAATGTGTGTTAAATATTAATCACATTCCTTTGTTGTTTTACATGATTTTTGCCGTTTTGAATTGTGGGCGTATTGATTGATGTTTGCTTTCTCTCTGCAGACACATCTCCAGCTTCATGCACAACGTCCCGTTTCCCTCCCCCCAGCGACCTCGCATCCTCGTTCAGGTAAAGACCAGGACTCAAACCCAAACACATTATTTGATGTAATTTTAAGAAAATATCGCCCAACTGACTCTTTCAGTCAAATTGTTGGATAAGATGGATTTTTTTAATGTAATTTGGCCTCATGGAAAATAAAGGAGGACCAAGGATTGAGCCTTGAGGAACTCCACACGTCATGTTGGTCTGCTCGGATGCAATTGGAGGTTGTTAATTGACTTTTTCTAAGTCCCGCCCCTTTTTGCTCTATGCTCCAATAACAGTTGAGCAAGCAACTTCCTCTTTTCTGTACTTGGATATGCTATATGCTCTATGCTAGGCTAAGCTATGTTGAAAATAATTTAATCCTTAACTTCCTCCTTCAACAGGATGTAGGTGGTGATCTGGTCTCAGCCTCAACTGGGTAATTGTGCCCAATCAGAAGCAATCCATTTATTGATCAGATTCCAATTAGCAGGCAAATTTCTTGACATGATTCTCTTAATAAGAAATAATTTACTGATCTATCGGGTTCAGATTTGATTTCACTGGATGATATTATCACACCACAGGCGACAATTGAGTTGGTAATTGTGTCGGGATTATCTGTGTTAATATTTCCTGTAAATATTATTGTAATTAATCATTAATTAAAGACAAATTGTGGACATCATTCAGGTCAGTTATAAGATTTTACTCTCCAACTTCAGCTTCACAACCACAAAATGTGAGATTATAAACAAATTCACTCTTTCACTCAGGTATCAGATCCATTGTTTGGAACTGATAGCAGTTAAACACTCAGGTAAACTTTCCAGACAACAGACAGTTGAGTTTACTTTCTCTTTTACTTCCTGATAAGTGGTCGTTTGAAACCGGTCTGACAGCTCGTGGCGCTCTCCCTGTGGCCACATTTGGTTAATTTATTCACCTTCCACGAGTTGGCGAGTGAAATCTTCTCATAACTGAAGGAATGATAGCCAGAACTGCCACAAACTGATCCCCCTGAGTGTGTTTGTGTGTCTTCTGTCTCACTGTGAATGTCTCTTGCAGCTCTCTCCATACGACAACCTGCTGCTCTGCCAGCCGGTCTCCTCTCCGCTCCCACTCAGGTCAGTTCATTCGACCTCCGCAGCAGAAAGATCAGGTTGTTTTGACACATGGAGGATAAAATTAACACTGAAAGTGCCCCTAAAAAAAATATCCATAAAGAGGGAATACTCTAATAAACAAATAAATAAATGAAATAAAATAAACAAGTAAGCTCATGGCTTTAATTCAACCCCCACGTCCATATATAGTATATTTTTATTTTTAAAAACAATTAATAATGAAATAATAATTAGTTCTATTTTGATTAATTTATGTTTTTTATATTCAATTATGAATAATGTTTTTTTATTTAATATAATCAGTATAGTATAACATTTTATTAATATGTAATTATTGACATTATTTTTATTTATGAGAATAATCTTTTTTGTTTATATTTAATTGCCAGTATACTATTCTTTTATTAATGTGATTATTAGTGTTATAATATTTTACTTATATCTATAATATTTTTTAATGTTTTTAGCAGACTTTTTTCAGTGTTATATTGATAGGACATAGGACTATTATTATTATTATTACTATTATTATTATTATTATTTAACTTATTTGCTTTGAGAGTTTTTGTATGAATTAGGGTTAAATGGATTAAAATAAATGTATCACATTATATGTAATTTGATATAATGATATAAATATGTAGTGTGTTACATAAAGTACATTTTTATTGAACCTCATATGAGAATATGAACATAATATTAGTTTTTGTCTAATCCAGAAAAAAAAAAAACCCTGATAAAATCAGAAAATGGTGTTTCATCATAAAACTCCAACATGAATCTGTCATGCTCATTGATCTGGAACATTGTCTGCAAGGTTTAATGCACTCAGATATTAAAGATATAACGGTTTTAAAGAAAATGTGAAAACCTCTGACAGGTTTTAATCTGTTTATAGCTTTATGTGTACACACAGGCACGTACATGATGAAGGACGATGCTTCCTGTTGATAAACTATAACCTGTGTGTGTGTGTGTGTGTGTGAGGGGACAGGAGGTGAGGGGAGGGGCGGGGGGAGTCTTTTGTTTATAC